CCCCATACTGATGAGTGCAGGCACTGCTAATTGGAGAGTTCTCTTAATAAGTGTTTAGTAGAAGCCTGCAGGGCTTGGTTCATTTATTCTCATTTCTTAGTCACTGGATAATGTATATTTTTGGAAAGATCTTTGTTTTTCCTGGAGGGTAGGTGGAATCCTTCCTGCGATACTCAGCTTTCTTGCAGCATAAGTGCTGCAGCCTCACTGCAAACAGTGCAGAACCGGCACTGCAGGAACGGGCAAAAGGGGAAGGCGGCTTGTGCAGGGGAAAATGGTCTTGTTTAAAAGATGCCTGACAATTACACTCAATTATATTTTAAAACCTTTGTTCAATATATCAGACACATCAGTGTCTCAATCCAAGTGCCGCTTGAAGACAGGATTGAAGTCTTAGCCTTTTTAATTCATGTAGCATGATCAAGAAAAGCTTACTTTTGATCAAAGCAGGAACAACCCAACTGCTGATGATCAAAGACCTAAGAGTTAGCTGGTGGACTGGGAAACCAAATCTGCCTCTCACTATCGAGCTCAGTAAGCTGTTCAGCTGGAAGTGGGGTTGCAATGGGAGACATGAAAGTTAGAAAAGAAGAAAGTCTCAGTTAGTCAAAAATGGAAAATTACAGAGTGAATAGCATCTCATTTCTGGGCATTCAGTACTGAGTGCCGTAAAAAAAGAGTCCTCTCTGAGCACTTGCAGCTTGTGTGGTGTTCAGATACAGGATTTGATCCTGGAAAAATGTTGTAGATTTGGAAGCTACAATTGACCTGAATGGACATAAAGCAGTGGGTTGTGTGTAGTGCCTGATACCCTGAGAAAATGCAATCCTGCGTGCAACTATGCTGTTTGTTGTGATTTGGTCGTAGTTGTGTTCCCTATTGTAAAGAATCATGAATTCTTGTGTTGGTTTTCCGGTAAACTTGTGACCTTTGAGGGGTAAAAGTTATTTAGATTTCAGCAGGGGAAGCAAAGGCAATGCAGGGAGAGGACATTCTGGCGATGACATATCAAGTCTGTTTTATGGATATAAAACATGACTGTCATTCTTGTAAAGCTGAAATATAGCCCTTTTCTGTAGCAAAAGGAGTAGCATAGTCAGGCGTGTCACTTGCCACTAATCAAGAGCATAAATCAAAATAAATTGCACTACACCCTTGCTTCTTAGCTGGATATCAGACTGAGGAAGATGATGGGGAGGACGGTTTCCATTTGTGCTAATTAAGCTTTCTGACAGGCAAATGTATCTTCGTTCACAGGGAACTACATGGTTTAGAGTGGGAGTTAATAGGCAGAAGTAGCACTTGGAGCCCAGGGAGTGGGTGAGACTGATGCTTCCTCTGGGAGAGTGCGGGGGGAGCTGGTCTCCAAACACTCCCAGCAGGACCAGACCCTGCTGAGTGGAGGAGCTGGGTTTAAAGGACATCCGCGGGGGTTGAGGGAACCCATATTCTTTGTGCTAGAGCCCAGTGTTGTGCAAAAGCTGTATTCTAGGAAAGTACAGCATGAAACACTTCTGCGGGAAGAGGTCGGCCGGTGCTCCAGGGAGCTGCCTCTGCTAGTTTGCCTCGGTGTCTGTTGCAGAAGGGGAATTGCTGTGAAGCAAATAAATAGCATGAATACTCCTGGGAGAAAGAGAAGAAAAAATATTTTTTTTTGTTTATTGACTAGATACCTTTTCACAAATTCCTTAATGCTGTTGTATTGTCATTAACACTTGCAACCTAAGTGCTACAGCATCAGTAGCATTAACACTAAGGAGGCTTAGCGTCTGCCTGGGTGCTTCAGATGCGGTTCAGGGCTTATGAATGATGGCCCAGATGATGATTATTCAGCAGCTCAGGCAGGATGAGTTAGTTTCAATAGAGCTCATCCCATGGCCAGTAGCATCTTCTCCCCCAGTCGGTGCAGAAGTGACACTGCTGTCAGTGTCCCCTGCCTTTGCTGTGGGAGGCATGTAGGTGTCCCATTGGCAACATGTCATCCAGCCTGTTTCACGGATCCTCCCTCTGCACTTCCACAAGGTGCCAAATGGTGAATTCACTACTTCCAGTGACTCTGCTGGAAAAGCTGGAGCTATTATGAGAGTTAGTGACTTGCAGGACAGTCCTGTGCTTTTTGAAGCTGTAGGCTAATGGAATAACTCTGCTACAAATGCAATGCTGCTTCATGCATTTCCTTCCAGATCCAGAAGTGGTATATTTTTTACCTAGTCCTTTCCTCCTTACCCTTCTGCATCTTTGGTAACACATCCCTTTTACATTTCTATTTTTGGTTTGTGGATTGGGTAAACTGGCAATGATCAAAGGGAATCTCTGGGACTCAGGAAATTTCATCTCTGTTTCATAAAATGACATCTTTGTTTCCACTGCCACGGGCTGAAGCCAGCTTTCCCCTGCTGCGGCGTTCCTACATGATAGCCTGTGCTGTTTGACATCTGAGCTGCAGTTCTCTAACTTAGCAGCAGAGCCAGAAGTGTGCAGGAAAGATAAAAATGCATGTTAATCTAGATTTTTGCCATTCTTATCTGTTCTGAGGCACATACAAGGTACTGAAATCCAGTGTTAGGTGAGAGGTGAGGATGAGGCTGATAGCCATTGCTATCCCCCTTAAGCCCAAAGAGGTAGGAGTGGTATGTAACGTGCTGAGTGTTGCGTGGGGATGTATACCTGCCTCTGGCTATTGTGTAGAACATGCACATTCAGGGTCCCAGTCTTGTCTGACTCAAAGAACCAAAGAATGGATACCACAAAATACAGTAAAATTCTGTAACCAGCAAGAAGTCCTATGGTGTTGGCTCCACAGAGGGAAATTTCCATTTAGTTTTGGAAATTTGTCAGGAAGACATCCACATAGGGCTTAAGTCTGGTGCAACCAGGTGAACTCTTAATCCAGTTTCAGTGGGAACAGCTTTCAAAATAGACAGGTTGCTCAGCTGCAGCTCAGCAAGCCAAGCACGCAGGACTTGTGCCACTGCAATGGATTTCAGCTACTCTTTACTAAAAAGGCTGAATGCCCAGGTGAGTGATTGAGTTGGAAGGAGAGCCCAAGCCTTTTGGTGAGACACCAGATGAAGGTTCATGTTACATGAACTATATCTCCCTTCTGGAGGCTGAGGAAGTCTTTTCCCAGATTTGTCACTGATTATGGAGTGCTTTAAATACATAATTTCCTCCATAAAACTCATAAAAATATATTTGTTGCCTTGAAGACTATCTAAACACATTTCCTAATAGTCACACTTTTTAAAGATTGCTAAGCTATTGGTTTTTTTCTGACAGTAATCATTTTACTTCTTTATCGGGGTTTTATGATGTTCTGCCACCTTCTAGGCATGGGCTTCCTCCTTTCAGTCTCAAGGTTTGTGCCTCTCACTGGATCACAGAAATGATTGGTTTGGGGTTTGGCAAAGCTAAGGTGGTGAAAACCTCAAGGAGAGGTGAAGGAGACATGTCCTAAAGCAGCATTTGACAGGATAGAAACGTTCCCAGTTGGTAGCAGATTGCTTTGGGAAGCTCTTGAGCTTTTTCCACTCGGATGCTATATTCCCTTTCTCCCTTCTATAGGTTTGTCTCTTCCCTGCTTTATCAGACTGATTTCTGGATGTACTTACAAGGCAAAATTCAGAAGCTGTTTGTTTTTAGATGCTTCTGGCCTTTGGAGGCCCCACTGAAGATACCTGAAGGTGTTATTTTCTGGACACTCTCCCTTCCTACAGTTCCCCTGGGAGGTGTGAACCTTTAGCACTTCTCCAGAACAGATCAAACTTTGGATCCCCCCAAATTCTGATATTAATTATAAACATGAACTCCTAAGGAAACTAACAAGGCTTTCCTACTTAAGGATTATATATTCAGAACTGAACAGACATTCAGGTCCAACATGAATTTTGATGTTATTTTAAAATGACACTAACCCAAAATATTAATTTCCAGTGATGGTTTAAATAAAGCTCTTCCAGGAATCTTGTATTTTTCTTTCATATTGAAAATTCAAAAGATAGATTGGAGTTATAGCCTCATGAATTCTGAGATTTTAAAGGATCCATCAAAATATCTTGCTCTAGCCTTGGTCATAATACCTTTTCCTCCAGGTCGTCACCTTGTATTTCTTCATTATATTAATAACTGCGCTATGGGTATGCACAGTTCTTAGGTATTAGGCTTTAATACAGACTTCTAATGATAAGTGGTGAAACTGATACAGAGTTTAGTTTAAACCCTAAATCTTTTTTGTCATTTCAATACAGTCTCATTGAATTCACTGGGCAGCCTGGGCTTTCTCTGGCCCCTAAACATGAGTAGCAACCATTGTGTTTTGTTTCCCCTTCACTCCAGTCTGATGGCTAAGATGGAGGAATTTAACCAACAAAGTAAATATTTATGTCTTTATTTCAATTAAGAATAGCACTGTCATTTGTGCTGTCTGAGCATTCAAATCCTTTCATTCTCAAAACTACCTCAAATTTTTTGAGAAGAAAATCCCAGCTTCCCTTGCCCTCCAAATATACCAAAAGAGTAAATCCCAATGAAAAGCTCAATTGTGTAGGGCTATGCAACAGTCTCCACAGACAAGATGCAACCCCCAGCACTTTGCATTCTACCTGAGGGGAAAATTTAAGGTACTGTTTTTTAAACTCTCAGCACATTCAGACACCCAAAGGATGGGAGCAGTGTTTCTTAAGTGATCATTGCTTTTCCCCTGACTTTCAGCGGCAGCTGCCATGTGCTGACTGCTGGAAAAGGCAGGTGGTCCTTGTTGGTGCCTACAAGATAGGTGAAGTCTTGTAGGGATGGACAAACTGGGCGTGGGTGGCTGTTCTGCAGTCAGCAACAACATCTGTGTTTTCCTGTGAAGTAATAACCTGCCTATGGGCCAGACAGTGTAGTCTCAAGTTAGGCAGAAATCATAAATGACACCTTTAAGCAAATTTCCGTTGATGTGTAAGACAAGTATTCTAGTCTAAGCCTTATTTATAATCTTTTTTCTTGTTCTTCTTCAGGTATTTTGAGTTTTATGAAGGGCCTTTGGAGTACAACTCTACCAAATGCCTGGAATTACGGCAGGACATCATTGAGGTGAAGGTTTTGTCTATGTAAGTATGAATGAATGCTTGCAAAAAAGGTTACTTTTCAGGCAGGATGAAAATAGTAACTTACAATGACATTGCCAAAAGATGCAATGCTCAAGAGATCCCATCAATAGGGATTTTGTCCGGGATTCCTAGGGTTCTCTTATACATGCAAGTAGTGACATTTGAATTTGATCTGAGGTCCATTTGAAAAAAATGGAGGCTTTTCACATACATTGAAGCATTTTGGTCAGGCCCAGTATCACTGTTTGGAATTAAATACGGTGTTTGTAATATTATTTGTAACATTATATTCCAGGTAATTGAAGAGTAAGAGCAGCCAGACTGACTCATAGCAAGTGTCCATCTAGGACACTTAAGGACACTCTAGGACACATAAGGCTCTACCATTGACAGTGGCCAGTACTGAAGGCTAAAAAACGAAGCAAAAAGGTTAGCCCTTCCTGGTAACAAATACTGGCATGGGGACTTGCTGAGTGGTAGATGGTGAATAGGCTACAGTAATCAGAGTGCACAATAAACCTCTCTATTAATTTGTTTAGGTCTTTTCTGAGCCCATTTGTACTTTTGACCTCCTCAATCACCAGTGAGTTAACACTCAGTAAAAAGTAGGAAAATGTGGTTCTGAGAAACAATAAATATTCATACTTTGTCTTTTGTGGTCCTATATATATACATCAGGAAACTAATGAGTTGAATGAGATGTATCCGTGAAGCCTTAGCGATGGAATTGGGCAAAAAAGTGAGGTTGCTCATTGGACAGAGCATAGCAGGGTATTTTTGTGTTGCCCTTTTGCGTTTTCAGCATTGCACTGAATTTAGGTGCTTAGATTATGCCTAATCCCTTACCATATCTAAAACACTGGTTTAGTAATCTTACTGACAATCCACAAGGCTTATTAAGGTCTGTAAAGTGCACTGAGAATTTCAGTTGAAAGTGCAGCTATACAAGTGCATAGCCTTAAGCAATCAAGGCTACAGAAAATACAATTTGTTGCTCCAGGTCTGCATGATTTTGAGCATGTCTCCCTCACTGACTTTATGCACAGAAAAATGTAGGTTATGTCCTTGTCTTCTGTATTTGGTGCTGGATAAAGGATACACAAGCAACAACTTTGCACTGCTTGCTGACTCGCAGTGCTTAAAAATAAATAGAAGGGGTGAGAATGTCACACTTCTGCCAATGTTCTGCTGAAGATGGGGAGCTTTGAATTGCTTTTCTGCGTACTTATCAGATGGTACAGAAAATTACTCATTCCTCTTCATTTTATCCAATGGCACACAGAAGGTAGTGGACTCCTGCTCAGCTGGATAGAGTTAGCCTTACTTTTACGATAGATGCCATTTGTCATTAAGCTCTTTTGCTAGGCTGGGTTCTTCTGATGTGCTTGCTTCTAACGTGCTACATTTTCTAAGTCAGCCCTTACGGTAGTGGAAGATTTCCAAGTTAATGTGCTCTGGTGGGCTACAAAAAGTACAATATGACCTATTTCCTTCCTGTAACTTCCACAGCCTGGGAAATCCTAAGTTCTACTCACTTTAAATATATAATTATCTTAAAAGTCTTTGCTTTATTCAAACATTCAAAGCCCTCAAGCTGGAAGAGAACTCATTAAGACCTATCGGTCTTGAAGAAATCACAAACTTCAAAATTTCCTAGCCAGATTATGACATTGCTCCCTAGCTCTAGATATTTGCAAAGCCTTCATTATTTCTGTTGTCCAAATACAGAAGAATATGTATGAACTCTAAAATAGAAGTGGTTGGAATTGATGATATCACCAAAAATGTGTCATCCTGTATCAGCCTAGTAGAAAGAGGAGTGTCATTTTTTGATATAACTAAAAGTATATTTATTAACAGAGGGGGAGGGAGAGATACTTTTGTAAAGAGCTTTTCATGTCCTTTTACTGTCACAGATGCTTATCCCTACATGTGTGCTGTTGCAATTTATAAAATGGATTTACCAACAGTACTGTTCTGTAGGATCTCACGGATTAAGATAGCCTCACCAAAATATAATGGTGGTTGGCCAAATTATCTAAAGTATCCCCATTTCCAATACCCCTTCTGCTCGGCCCTTCTGCTAGCTGCAAATTTCCCCCCCTCAAAGCTGCTGTAGTTGCCAGATGCTCGTTAGCTTCCCAGCAGACTGTGGACAGACTTTGGTACAGTAGATGCTTCTTGCTCGATATTGCATTTTTTATCCTGAAGAAATGGAGAATGCCCATCAGGGAATAGAAATCAGTCCCAAACATCTGAAGAGCTCCACCAGTACCTGTGTATACATGGTTTAGCATTCCTATGTCTGAGCAGAAAAAGAAATAAGAATGATAAATTTTGCACTGGCTAGACTGACTGGTTTGCCCTATCAAAAGCTTACTGCATGGTACTCTGGCTGCAGCTGTTTTAGGAAATGAAGCCCTTGTAGTAACATGAATTTTTGTTTTCTTTCTTTTTATCTTTTAGGGTGAAACAAACTGAATTGTTTGACAGATGGAAGAGCCTACAGATGTGCAAATGGGAGATGAATGTCACAGAAGCTAATTTATTCAAGTAAGAATGGTCCACATTAATGAGACTAAGTAAGATTTACTTCAGTTTGAGTTTAGCTTCCATAGAGAGATCAAACCTTCATATGGATAGCAAGAGTAAACATTATAACACTGTTACTGCTGGAGTACCGTCCTTTTGAATAAATATGGACTTTTTTCTACTTTTAAAAAGTGAACAGCAAGAGTGAAAGCACTCTTCTGGCATGTGGAACAGTCTTCCCAGGAAAGGTGGGGAATTTGATATGGGAAAGACTTCCAGGTATGATTCAGGCAGAAGCGAGGATGGAGCCAAGACTTAATGGCTGCGCCTAATACATCAACCTAACTCTCTGGTGGTGTAAAATGGTAATATCATTGGTGACACTGCAAATTTGGCTACAAAATACTCAAACTGGATTTTTTCTGTGGTGTATTAGGTACTGTCAGACCTTGTTTATGACTTCCTTTTTTTTAATGGCTTCTCAGCTATTGCTCCCTGACTAGCTAGATAATTTTTCTGGTCTGTGGAGACCTCTGCAGATTGTTTCTGTAGTGTTCTGTCTTCCTTCATGTGACTTCGTCTTTGCTGAAGGTCCTCCATGGTCCTTTTGAGATACAGCTTTTGAAATTGGTCTTGTGAAGGCAATAGTAGAATGAAGCCAAAACAATATTTGAATGTTGTATATTGATACATTCAAGGGCCATATTTGAGTAGGTCTAGAGAAAGCACATTATTTCAGAGTCAGGGAAATATAGACTGGTTAAATCTGTAAGTCACTGGCATGATTCAGAGCTGTTGTTTAGAATATGGCCCTGCAACTTTCTCCCAAATTCTTTTGCATGATTCCAGGAAATAGCTGTCACGAGTTAATGAGAGAATGAGAGAATGTGAGAATGCATGTGCTGAGTTAGTCATTAAGATCTTTAAAAATAACTAATTGTTAGTCCCAGGCTCATAGCACTTTTTCCAACGTGAGTTCCACACATAAGTTTTTTAGGGTTTTTTTAGTATATCTTTTTCTGGAAATTACTTGATGGGCAATTATCAGAGCCATTCAGGATGAGTGCCTACTATCTTAAAGATTGCTTGGAGTAAGAGAACTAATGATTGTGCCCAGAGTGCAAGGAGCACATTGAAGGATGGAGAAGAGCACATTGAAGTATGGAGGCCAGCCCAGTGGTGGAATCAATGAGAAAAGACTATCTAGAGACCATCAGGAGCACCATAACTTTCTCTCAGGCCACCAACACCAGCACATTAAGAAAGAACCCCTCTCCATCCTAGACAGTGCATTGAGAGAAGAGATGAAAGACTTTGTTGCTGACTATACCTGCCTGATTGATATATCACTGCTTAAGAAACTCCCACTGACACCTAGGTGTAACCTAACCTTTGTTAGCTGGTTCCAGGAACAATAATCATGCTAGTCATGAAAAAAAACTTCAAAGTCTGTTTCATTTTTGTCTTATGGGACAGACACTTCAGTGTGTGAATGTGTGGGGAAACTGTAGTCCCTTAAAAGCAGACCAAAGTCTCTGAGTTTGGAGGTAGACTCATAGGAGGCTAAAAGGTGGTGGTCCAACAACACTGAGCTGTGGGCTTTCAAACTTCGCCAGTTCTGGAGCATCAGGTGAGACGGGGAGAATCCAGCAAAAGTTAAATGACAGCTACTTAAGCAGCAGGGAGAGAGGAAGCACAAAAATCACACTAGCTTTTGTGTCTGGAGACACAGGAAAACAATTTCCTTGACAGTCTTCCTCCTTCAGATATCAGACATTTACATTAAGGAACGTACCTCTGGAAAACCAGTTGGACATTAGTTTAAAGAACAACAGCTCTTTCAATTTCTTAATGCAGAACTAATGAAGAGTTTTCTCATATCTCAAATATCACAATTCAATCCCACTACCTGCTTGTAATTATTTAATGATTTTGTTATTAGAAATTATTCATTGACTTATTCAGTCTCAATTGCTGCCTTGATCTGATCATCATATTGTGTCATTCTGCATGAGTCAAGTATATAATAGTAATTGGACATCACTGAAGTGTTTGCATAATTCTGTCTTTGCTTTCTGGTGCTTGTAATAAAGCCCATGAAGAAGACTGGCTTATTCTTCCAACTCATAATGAGGCCACATACCCCAGAGGCAAGGTATTTAATCTAGGTTATTTGAGAGCCATTTGACTTTGTCTTCATGTTTGTGCATTTGCCATGACATGTATTTTTCATTAAAGGTATAAGATTCATTGACTGAGAAACAAACTGTCTCTGGAGTGAGAGTAAGATGAGTTAAGGGCTTTCAGTTCCACCAGTAAAAGAAGAAAAGCATTTGGGGAAAGATGGGAGCTAAGAAATGGGTCCCTATTTGGAAAGCTGCTTTTCCTATTTAAATTTCATATGAAACTTATGGTAAGGGGATCAGAACCGAATGATTTTTCTCTCATGCTGTGAATCCCATTTTTGACATTTCAAAACTGTTCTTGTTTGCTTTGGAATACCTGCCATTTTGTCCCAAGGACAAAGAAAATTTTGGCCATTTGTCTGAGATTTTGGAGTTGTAGCCGTGACCAGTCTGCCTGGCACCCATCTCTCGGGGCCACATCATCTTCCTGATGCACATATGCAAGGTCAAAGGCAAAACTAAGACCTTTAAAAGTTTTTTTTTGTAATCAAAGTGTGCTGTGCTCCACAGTAGTCTGGTAAGTGGGGTTGTGTCTTTAGATATTGCTGTGTTTAAGTCCCTGCCCTGCCAAGCTTCCACATCCTCAGATGAATCCCCTGGATTTCCTGCCCAGTGATGAGTCAATAATTTACAAAAAGTGGAAGACCTCTAAAACAGAGAGGGACTAATTCATCAGGATGGTTACCCCAGGATACTGGGGACAAAAGCTCAGCTTTGGGGTCTGAAGCAGGGCAGAAATCGCACATGTATTTCCTGCACCTTAGAAGAGACAGGTACAGGTATCTCATTTCTTCCTTTTTTTTTTTTTTTGCTTGTTTTGTTTTGTTTTGTTTGGTTTTTTGTTTTTTTTTGTTATTGTTTTTTAACCATGAGTTCCTCAGTCAAGCAAAATTTCACTGAATCTGAAATTTTCTAAAGGAAAATCCAGCAAACCACCATTTTACCCCTCCTACAGCTAAAAAGTTTATTTTTGCTGAAAAATGCCTTGTTAGGAGTAATAGTAATTGCAAATCCTAAAGCATGCTATCAGCTCCTTGATCTTATTTCTCTCTTTTTCAATTTACAGGTCTACTTTGTCGAGGTGTTGCAATGCCCCTGCCTTTCTGTTCACCACCCAGAAAAATACTCCCTTGGGAACTAAACTGAAATATGAAGTGGATACTAGTGGAATCTTCCATATCAACCAAGAAATCTTCAAAATGTTTCCAAAGGTGCCTCATGCCTCTGCCCATTGCAGAATCAACTTCACTCTACTTGCTTCATTAGATACTATACCATAGCCAAGCATTTAGCAGTTGGCTGTTTGACATTTCTACAAACTTCATCACTTATACTTTGAAAATATTTATTTTTGATATGATATTTTAGCTGATTATCCTATTTTCTAGTGGTCATCTGCTCTAGTATGCAATACATATATATATTTTCCTGCAGAATATTACTGACTAGTAGCAAAGTGGCTAACGAAATAACTTAAGAAAGCTGAATAAAAGAGGCATTGACTGATCAGAACTTTTAAAGAGTACAATACTCACATACAATAAATCCAACATTTGGGGTAGGTCTGTTTTTTTAGGGGCAAGATTATTTTATAATTCATATTCACAATGACTACTTTTATACTTATTTCTGTTTGCAGCTTATCTGTGAACAGGCTGCACAATTTAAAAATATATTCATCATAATGATTATTCAAAACCTTTTCAGCAAATAATCCTTGACCTGAGGGTCATTCAAAGTTATAACCAGTGGGCAATTCCCATTGCAGGTAGTGATTGATGTGCAGAAATGGGCTTATGTGAATACTGATTTATCATGGAGCACACCTCATGAATTTAAAATGGCATATTTGGAGGGAATAACTGAAATCTATCCCTTTCAGAAAGTCAGAAAAATATTCGAGTGAAGTACATAGATTTGTGTCCTTAATGTTGTCCTTAAGGGTCTAACCACTTTTAATCCAATTGCTTTCTGAGCACTGCTAAGAGGTAGTGCTGTTATCTAAATGTGCACATGGGGAACTGGGGCAGAGCAGGTGAAGGGCTCAGATCCAGCAAAGCACTTTGGCATCTGGAGACGTGCAAAGAATGGGTACATCTAAGTCCAGGAGTATTATCCTCAAAACCCTGCCAGATTGCACAGATGAATGCATAAAAGACTAGACATCTACACTTTTGCTAGGAGTGTCCTATAGCTGCTGTTGTATTTATCCAGATATGCCTTGAGGATGCTTTGCAGGCTCTATTCCATGCCCAGATACCTTTGGGATTCACTGGGCAGCACCTATGTGACCAAAGCCACCCTCTGCCTAGGACCAGGGCTGCAGCAAGGCAAATGTAGGAGATAAAGGGCTGAAAGCACAGGAGCAAGACGGACTGTAAGGGCCTTGTGCTGAGTGCGGAGAGCTGGCTTCTGATCTCCCTTTCAGGGCTGCCAAGGCATTTAGTGTTAAGAAATCGCTGGATAAAGCACAGACAAATCTATAACTCTATATTGCTTCTCTGTTAGACAGCTGCTGCTTTTCTCAGACAGGTGTAATTGCATGCCCTTTTACCTCATGGCTTATGAATGCTATGGAAAGATCCTGGGAATAATCACCTAGATATGTCATGCCACTATGGCATCTCTCTGTAGTTTGTGGTATGAAATTATTGATAAAATATGTATGTACCAAAACGAGCACTCTCATGCTTATATAAGCACTTCTCTACATATTCATAAGGTGTAGCGTGGCACAGTTCTGCGTCACAACCCTCTCACCCTAACGGCCCAGTTCTGTTCTTGGAGATGTGATTTTCACTCTCTCTGGCTTCAGCAGCAGCTGCACGTCTGCATATGAAGGCAGAATTTTGCCTGAAGGTTACAGAAAGATGCGTCCTACACAAGTCCAAAAAGGTGCCTGACCAAAGGCCTTAGGCGCTGCTGGTAGTACAAGTGCTAATTAATAATCATTAATACTATTAGTACAATTAGTTGTAGCAAGTACTAAAATTTGGGTTAGGTTCTGACAAATACCTGTAACGTGCTGTCTGACTTAGAGAAACTTCTTGGGCTTAACTAGCTGCTCTGGAACTATGTGTGCGGACTCCTCAAAAACAGGACATCAGAGCCTGAGGAATGAGCAGTTTGCAGGCAGCTCAGAAGGCAATGCCTGGGGTACGCTAATTTTATGGTTCATGCCCTCATGTGGAAATCAGAAAGTTTCTAAAATGACTTCTTCCATTATTAAGTCTGGACAAAACCAGGTTATTGCTTTTTTTCTCTCTGAGTTAGTTGCCCATACTATCTCTAATTGCACAGAAAACAATCCCATCCATTTATGTACACCATGGGAATATTGCGGGCCGGAGCCAGTGTCAACTTCCTATGATTAGTGCATCTGCAGCAAGATGCAGCTGCACATAAAAAAGGAAAAAGTGAAAAAGAGACTTGTTGCCTCCATGTTTCAGGGTATTTAACTGTTTCCTTGCTGTGATGTTGCAGGATATGCCATACCACCGCTCCCAGTTTAAGAAATGTGCAGTGGTTGGGAACGGAGGAATTCTGAAGAACAGCAGATGTGGCCGGGAGATTGACAGCGCAGACTTTGTGTTTCGGTAATCACCACAGCACCATTTTTCTTTTTTCCCATTTTAATGACAAATAAAAGATTTCAAAGCTATTCTCTCTCATGTAGAAACATGGGATTTGCCAAACTGGCCATATCAAGCCTGCTTCTTGCACAAAAAGCAATGTTTCAAAAAAAACACCTGACTTATTGACAAAGTTTATTGTGCTCTTTCAGGACATTCCCTGTCACTCAGGTTGCAGTTTTATCTTTCCATGGACATTAACCCATAAGCAGTGTCCTATGAATGTGGCCATGATTCATGATTTTCTGGGGCAGTTCTGAACCAGAGGTACAACCTGTATGCCGTAACAAGCAGCTTGGACAGATGTTAATAGCTCCATGCTGTGCAGCTCATGTGCCTCAGAGGTGTGTTTCTGAAGAGGTACAGAGCTTAAGTGCTGGATAATGGGAGTTACAGTAATCAGTACTGTAGACTCCAGGGTGTGCAGAGACGCCTGAATAACTTCGAAGCTTGAGTATCTTCATATTGTGCTCCCCACTATATGTAGAGTTATCCAGGTTTTGCATAGACAGGGACGGCCCACGACTTGTGTCTCTGGATAACAGAGTTTAGCAGCACTTTTATCATCCTTACTATATATGGGAAAGATTTTTTTATTATTCATATGCATGACTAATCCCTCTCTAAATCCTGTTAAGCTCTTTGCCTGGGTCACGGCATATGACAGCTAGCTCACAGATTCATGACCTGTTCTGTAGAACAGAAAAATCTTTTTACTTCTGTTGGCCTATTTTCTCATCTTGGATATGCTGCTGTCAGGTTAGAGTAACTGTGCATAAATCAATGAATTTCTCTGATTTCATACCAGCAAAAATTAGGTCAGATTTTTGCTCATTGCATTCTTAATTTAATTTGGAATCAAATGAGAAATAAAATTTTGCAGGTCCTACCTTCACTATTCATTGTTTTCAGACCCTTGTGTCTGCCTCTTGTTCCCACTTTATAGCAAACTATTGTCTTAGTTTTAATCTGTGAAACAGTCCAGGCTTCCAATAATTTGCTTCTTAAAAGCCTGGTGTACCCCATAGACATTAAATAATTATTGTAGATTCCCTTCTATCATGTTGGATCACAGCTATTAGTATAGTTGAAAGGAGCAGTATATGTTACACATGGAGATGACAAGCTGTTGAGTGGAAGTGGAAATATGGGCAGCAAATGTCATCATTTATGTATAAGAACTTTCAGTGGAGGTCCCTTTTTACCACTGTTACTCTTCCTTGAACTGTACCAAAACCGATTAAAAAGAGCAGAGCAGAGCAGATCACTACAGAATGTAGAAATTGGGTTGCTTTTGGTACCAGTAATTAATTAAATAGAGGCTTAAGTAGAACTGAAATATGAATAAATACATCAGTACTTGTGCAGAAGAAACCCCTGGTTCACCATCTCCAAAATATGTGGGACCAGTGTTATGCACAAAGACATGCTAGTGTTTAAGAGCTTAAGGTCTGCTGACATCAATTTTAAAGTAAAGCTTGTGTTTAAGGTCAGGTCTGAACACATCCACTTTCCAGTCTAACACCAGTTCACCAAACTGTCAGGAATCACCATCTTGGTCACCAGCGAAATAATTCTTTGAAATATTTAAAAAACTGCCTATGGAGCACTTTTAACATTCAGTGATACCTTCAGGACACCTGGCAAAATCCTTTATTGTCAGGAAGCCTGTGGCCAACAGGATACAACCAAGGTTTTCTATGAAATAAATTCCGATAGCAATTAATTATAGTACAATAGAATATACAAAATACACACACAGGAATTGCATTTGCTAGTTGTTATTGTCTATCTCCATCTACTGGCCAGAGTAGAGATCTGTGATGAAACATTGGGTGCGTTTAGAGATGTGACTGCTCTCTGCAGGAAGGAATTTTTGGAGTCTTATGGCAAAAGTACAGTTTATGCAGATTGTATCATTTTTATAAGGAATTATCACTTTCAACAAATCCAGTCTTTCTTACGCCTGGTGGGCAGTTGCTGTTCAAAAATATTGAAGCTGAGTATTTGAAAACTTTTTCAAATATAATCTAATGAGCACAGTGCCAGTGCTAGGTGGAACTGAGTATACTAGAGGACTTCAGAAGGATGTTGCATGACCTAGCAGAGAAAAGTTCTGGAAATAACATTGCCTATGAGAAGGATGAGATGGCTAAAAAAAAATTGTCTGACCTGATAAAGAGGGACTCTCTGGAAGGTAGATATGAACCTCCTAAGTCTGAAAAGGACTTTGAAAGATTTTTGTGCATTCTTCTACTTCCCCACTTGCCCTGTCCCTGTGACTGAGAAATTATGCTCACAGCTGAACTGTAGTATTCTGAAAACACTGAGTATCACTTACCCTAAATACCTTCACAGTTTTCTCCTATTCGACCCTGATCTTCAGAAATACGGGGATGTTTGGGAATTAGGCACAGCAGGATTTTTGAGATGTGGGAATCTTAACAGTAATGGCTTTTATTGAGGCTTGTAGATCACTTCAAAAAGTTTTCAAAATGTCAGCAAGTATCTAATGCTAGCTTAAACTGATTGTAAAAGGCCACTTATGTTGCCTCTGGTAACATATGCCGAAGCTTTTTTTTTAGTTGGGTTTCCTATGGAAGTGAAGCTTGTGTGTTAGCTTGTGTGTGTTTCAGTAACTTCAGCATCTCTTGAGGGATGCTCTAAATTTTGTGAGACGATGAATCTAGGTCAAGGTGAGTGGAGGCTGAGCAAAGTCAAGGTTTGCAAATCTTCACAAGTTTGTTCCTAATAGCTTTGACATCCTCTGGTGAATCTGTAGAGTCAGAATTGCTGCACTTCAACTATGCTGGGAGATACTTGTAAAGGGAAACGGAAAAGAAGCAGATAGTTTTGGATTAATTAGGACTGGATTGATTTGTCTCTTGTGGAACATTTCCCCTAAATTCTCTCGGGCATAAAACAAAGCATGTTAAAGGCAACGTTATAGATACAGCTTATCTATTAATTATTGAATACTGCTTAGCTGTTCCTGAGGAAGTCTTTGATTTTATAGGCTGATTGTCCTTGGGGCTTCATCCTATTTCTTGTCCTAAACTGCCAAAGTAAATAGCTAAACTGCCATTAAGGAAGCAAAATAAGTGAGCATTGGCTACATCTGCAAAAAGGGGTCATCTCTGAGACTCAGGGAAGAAGAGAGGTGTCCATACAGCCTCTAAGAACCTGTTGCTTTAATGCACAGTTTGGGCATCAATATGTTTTGATGTAATTTTAAATTCTCAATCTGTTTCTAGATTTGTTCCTTGGAAGAAATGCTTACATCGATTCTACTTTCTAGTCCTGAAAAAGTGCAAGACATTTTTTAACATTCTTATTGATTTCTTTCCTTTATAGATGCAATTTGCCTCCTATATCTGAGAAATACTTCACGGACGTTGGGGTAAAGACGGATGTCGTGACTGTGAATCCCAGTATAATTACTGAGAGGTAATTTCTAGTTTTTGTATTTTCATCTCTATTGCTTTTCCAAATCTACCTTTCACTTAATTCTAACAGTTACAGAGAATTTTTTTCCTGGTATTACTTTAAACTGACACTATGAATCATGCATTTCATTCTGAATTGAAGTTATTCAGTATATGGAATTAGTAACAACTTATAGAAGCTTGTTAAATACTTAGACCTGCACATTGGTGATAGAAAGTGGAAAGCTGATGAGCTAAAATTATAACAGCAGAGCCATCCTTTCCCTGGAAGTCTTGTGCTGTGCTTGCAAGCTGCAGGCAAATGTCTCAGAAACATTCAGGGTGGAAGCAACTGGATCCTACCCTAAATGCTTAAATAAAGTAACGCATATTGGCATATGTTTTTTTTAAAATGCAGTTAAACTTTGTAGCCATGATTGACTGGGTGATTTTAATTTTAAGTTTATTAATACCTTAATGCCACCTTGCTGACAGGTTTGGGACCATGGGGCTAATTACTGCTTTCCTTTCTTGCTGGGGGAATGTGTTTCTTTTCTGAAGCAACATAAAATAATTTGCTTGCATTTTGGATTTATTTAAAATGTTACAGTTAAAAGTTTGCTTTGCTTTGGTATTTGCCATTTTTTTATACAGTTTTGCACCTCATAGTGCACTATACAGCTGTCCACAGCTTGGAAAAATGGCATACTTCTCATAATAAAATGAGAAGTGAGACATGATCAGAAATGTCTACAAAGTTTGTCCACTGTTTAATGAATATATTGCCAAAAGAAAGGAGAATATGTATTTTTTTATCCCTGCATTTTTGCCCTACATTTCATACTGATGCTTTAGCTACAAATCTAACTATATTCCCCTTGTTAACTGAAACAGCATTTCAATTATCTCTGTATCAGAAATGTTTCAGTAAAAGCCCATTGGAAGTTTCTTGTCTGCTGGGTCCAGAGTGAGTCTGCGCTCGTCTGACCATCACTCACATCCTTTTCCCTTTAGATTTCATAGGCTGGAAAAATGGAGAAAACCCTTCTACGATGTGCTCCAGGTCTACGAGAACGCTTCCGTGCTGCTGCCAGCTTTCTACAACACTCGCAACACGGACGTCTCAATCCGGGTCAAATATGTCCTGGATGATTTTGAATCTCAGCAAGCTGTTTATTACTTTCATCCCCAGTATCTCATCAACGTCTCACGCTACTGGCTCGGCCAAGGGGTGCGGGCCAAGCGGATTAGCACTGGACTGATCCTGGTGACTGCTGCCCTGGAGCTCTGTGAAGAGGTCCACCTTTTTGGCTTTTGGGCCTTCCCCATGAACCCCTCAGGGATTTTTATAACTCACCACTACTATGACAATGTGAAACCTCGCCCTGGTTTTCATGCTATGCCCTCAGAAATCTTCAACTTCCTCCACATGCACAGCAAGGGGATCCTGCGGGTTCATACAGGGACCTGTAGCTGCTGTTGACAGGGATACTTCTTCCTCTGACACAAAAGTGTAACAGGAACTTGATGCCTGTGTATGGTGTAGGAGGTTTTATTACACCCTGAGATTATGCAATAAATGTTTGATATAAATTTCCTCAAGGCATTGCATCCCATAGGGTCTAGGATACCAGCATCTTTCCTGCTAGCAGAGTTGGGTCCATAACAGTGTAGGAGAAGCAAAACTCCTCTGTTCCAGGGTGTACATTGCCCTGGAAAGCAAGTCAGATAAGAAGCACATTTCCAGTAGGTTTAGGGATAAACAGAGCACATTAATATGGTTATCATTTCACTATGAAGAAAAGCACCAAACTTTTGAGGAGAATCAGTGATTGAGAATTTTAACACAGACTGTATGACTTTACATAGGTTTCTGAATCAAGTACCTTGGGTCATTGCCAGATTTTATTGAAAGCACTGTTCTCTGGTATTCGGGTTTTTGAAAATACCTTTTAGCATTATAGTTTTAAGGGGAAGTATGTAACTTGAGGTCTTTGTTCTGTAATGTCACGAAGTATTGGTGAAAAATAGCAGATAGATGCAATAGGAATAAACAAGATCACTATGAATTTTTTCAGCTGAGGTAGAAAAGAATGTTAAACTCCAATTCACAGCAACAGGTAACTGTGGATCATGGTGTGCAATTGTTTTAGAGTTTCTCTCTTCTTCTCATTCTTGTGTCTTATATTTCTCGTCTCCTCTGCTGATCATGTTTTCTTTCTCATTGTCTGTAATGCTTTCCTTCTAGCTAACGCATGTGTGTATTTCCTCCTACAGTGACCATCTCAGCTTCAGATTGGAGTTCTTGTTGAAGAAACATGCTCCTTCACACTTCTGTAAGCTTTTCTCAGGCTGAATAGCAAGGAGATTGTGTAGTTATATTTTCTGAGTTGATTTTTTGGTTCAAATATCACAGCATAAGATAAAAAAAAGCATTTCCTGTTTGATTTTTATTAAAGACTTTGTAAGACTATCTAAATGTTGATTCACTGTTATGCAGGTCAAGTTAAATACTTTCAGGTATCTGTGATAAGTAGTGGCAGAAAATGATTTTAAAATACAGTAAAGATACTTTGTGGCTTGGTTTATGATGCTTATTTTAAAATTATGCATCTCAAGTTGTCAGATGTCTTAACGTGACATTTTTATATGTTGAGAATGTTACTAGGATAGTAAAAGGGCTGCTGGATTCTTTAAAAAGTTACCCATGTAACTCTGTCAGTTATGCCAAGCTTAATTTTTTCACCTGATACAGTCAAATTGGCAAAATCCTGATGCAGAAAAGATGCCACATATTGCTGGAGTTTATTTTGGCTGCTGAACCGTGGTGTAGTAGGCTGCTGGTATATGCCTTTTCATACTGGTATGATACACAGGATGGTGAGGTTTGCTGTTTCAGCTGTGCTGGCATAGTTAAATGAACAGAGTTTCCTCGTGTAAGTTCTTAGTCTGAAGCACTTGGGCTGTTGTCCAGTGCCTTGTCTTGTCTTACTTAGATTACAAGACCTTTGATCAAGGATTTGGAGTTTAAAGTGCTAGTTCTATATGAGGGATAGTTTTTTGGGGGGAGGGAGAGGGTTTAAATCCGAATCTGGACTTGGATTTTGATTTTGTAATGCATGAATGCACAAAGCTTCTTTTAAAAGCCTCTGTGCTATGCTGAGAGCTGTGAAAGTTGCTCATGCTACAGATAAAATGATCGAAAAGGAAGTGAAGCACGATGGTCACCATTTCAAAAGTCCCTACTGACCAGCAGTGGCCTGGACGGTATGTGAGAGCATATTTCCTTAACTTTACACTAGTCTCCAGAGGTCTGATTACTTTAAAAGCAACCCATATCCTTGATAAAGGTGTCAGAGCTCACTTGGGAAATACCAGCCAGGGGTAGGTGAAGGACCTGTGCTTAAACTTTATATATTTGTGTTGTTGTACTTTTGGTCTTAGAGTTATACCGTGTGTTAGTGAGCACCACTTCATGTTGGCTAGCTGTGAAATATGCAGCACACTAAGAATGAACATATAGATGAAATGGTTTCCTTGATTTAATATGCAAAAGAGATCTTTGTCTTTGCTGTGTTTTGTAAAATTATGTGCAAAGGGCTTTGATAATGAAGTGCTGTAATGAAAGTGCTATTTAGAGAGCAATGTGACCCTGTGGGTTGGCCATCTTGCTGTGCATTAAGCTTTATGATAACAGGAATGGCGCTGAAGCCAGTACCTAGAGCCCTTGCTCCTTATTCTGCCTGAGTATGGGACTAGTAGTGACTTCAGTATTGCTTTGCTGCTGCTGCTTTGCTAAGGTTACCTTCTTTAGTAAGGGATTTTTCTTTACTATGGTGATTGAAGTGAACAAAAGCAACCGAAAGGAGTCTGCTATGTTGCAAAAGATACTTCCAAAAAGATGGGAAAGCACTTGAGAAGCATCCATATGTTGGAAAGAAATGGTGCAAATCCCTCTTTTTAATTGCAAAAATCCTTTTGGACTTTTTGGACAGACAAAAGGATAAGCAAAACTGTAATTACAGTTAACCTGTAATTACAGGGTTACAGATGTTTCCTTTCCTTTGTTTGCTTCACATAAATGAGCAATGTAGATTCACCTAGGCTATACTGTAATAAGTGCAGTTTTACTGTGTTTAGATTTTGATTGGTTATAAATCTATAGCTACTCTATTTTTTTAATGATTTGAAAATGTGTGTGCAGGATACTCGCACGAATGCACCAAAGGCCCAATCTTGCCACATTTATCTGAAAAGAGCTCCCATTCAAGTGGATGGGTATTTTATTTGTGTAGGGACTGCAGAAACAGGCCCAGACATGTCTGTGAAGGTGTACATAGGTGTATAGTTAGATATAAGGAATGATTTGCAAGCCAGAGAGATACTTAAAGAAATATATATTAAATAGTCCTCAAGCTGAAATGCATGTTGCAATGTGTTTACTTTCTGATTCATTTTTCAGATGTTGCTCAAAAAATGATTGAAAAACTATGGCACTTTTCAGAAATGCCATACGCAGAAACTTTCAGATATTTTTTGGCTTCCTTACCTTGCACTGGGTGCTGGAAAATCAGATTCCTGCTGCTGTACCGCAGCACCTGTGGGGCCAAGTGGAAATGGTGTGGTGGCAGCTTGCAGGAGCAGGGCCTGAGGATGGACCCTACCTGCTGCTCTGTTCTCCATGGATGGCAAATAAATACCGCCCGGGAGATTTTAGCTAGGTGGAGGTCACTACCTGTGCCATGTCACTGTGGGGTGCGTGAGCCAGCAGCGACCAGCCTGAGCTTCTGCCCATCCTGCTTAAATGGATGAAAAGAAGGGCTGTTGCAGAAAGAAGGACCCTCCTTGTTTTCTGCCATGATTCTTTTGTGTATTGAGCATAAGAAAATACTCTTCTGACATCAAGAATTTGTCTGAGTTTGAGGCTATTTTGTTTTCCCTTCTCCCATTGCGGTCAAAGCTCCAAATGTCCAATCTTAACCTTCTTTGAACAATGGGATACCTGAGTGATAAGAAATGACCGTCAGGAAGCCACGTATGTTTGCTCCACACTGTTATGGCAAGTAAAAGACATGCATAGCATGTCATGCTTTCCCACAGAAAAGGCTGCAGGCCCCAGAGGAATCCCCTGATACAAAAATCTGATCTGTCCAGGAAGAAATGCTGTCAGCTGTCTGGTACCACGTCCTGAGCTCAAGCTGTAATCCTAGCTCTGTTGCTGAGGATATGGAATCTGAGACAGGGAGAGAGAAAATTATAATATCATGGTTTAATCCCCAACTCCTCTTATTAGTTAGAAGAATCTCTTAAGAAGTTCCTGAGATCTGCATATACTGGCAATGCAAATTCAGTCAGAAAAACTCCGTTTTTCTGCTCCTCCGTTATTTTCAGGTCAACAGAGGAGGCTTATGAATCTGTCAGTGCTTTCATCAAAGGGAAGGAAGTATTTAGTCAAAATAGTTTAGCTGCTTGCTTTTGATTTATGAAATCCAGCTTTGCTGTTGGACAGAATGGATTAAATGGTGATAGGGCCATTATAATATTTTAGCATATTTTCTGTGATTGCAATGGAGTTGTCAAAGCCAGCTCATGAATTGCAAAGGGAGAGCCATGCCGTGGCAGCTCCTCCTGCTGCGATCTCGAGGAGGAGAGGCACCATGGTGAGTAGGTCCGGGGCCGCCTGGAAAAGCGATGTAAAGGGAATATAGGAGATTGCAACCACAAGTCTGGTCCAGAGCCTTTAGCGCTTTGGAGTAACACGGCAGAGATGATAGATGAAGCTTCAGAGCTTGCAACGGCCAGGAGTAGCTCCCCTGGTCCCCGACAAAAGCTGCCCTCATGCAGACTTGACTGATGATAAATTAAAGGCGATGTTCACTCGGGATGGTTAGATGTAGTAGACAGAAGGAAAAGATGTAGTAGATGGAAGGAAATCAACTCTAAGAATAGTCCGCTCTGTGGGGGTTTGGTGAATCAGGAGGAATGTTGCTCAGACCTTGAAGGCAAAAACACTGGTGGTGACGCAGTTCCGTGGGTGGACTGCCCGTGCTTGGCTTTCCGTGGCAGGAAGGAGCAATCTCTGGTTTGTGTGTGAGGGAAACCGAGGCGGATAAAACACTGAGACATGGAGCAAGAGGGAATCTATCTTTTTTTAATCTTCTGAGGCCTGGTGGCTTGCCAGCAAAGCTCTGACTGTAGAGAGCAGAAGCTTGGGTAGTGAAAATGGAGAGCTCTGAAATGGTCTTTTCCCCCATCTTGCTTGCATCCGAGCGTGCAGAGAACCTTGGAGCTTTTATTAGTATATGAAGAAGGAAACAACAAAATCCGGCAATTCCTAAGGGCCAAATTTCCTGGGAAATTCTGGAGTGGCCTGAGCTTTTAGGAATAAAAGAGTCAGTATTTATGCTTAGGGCCTTTTCTAAAATCCAGTGAAGTCTGTGGAAAGTTTGGTGTACTTCAGGGCAAGCCTCCAGAAACAGGCCCTGATCATGGGCAGGAAGAGCAGCCTCTTGTTTCTTACTCACTTGTTTTCAGATACATTTTTTAATGTATTGTAGATATGGTGCAGTAGCAATACTGTGTTTTTAATGGTGTGCATAAAGAACAAACTTATCTGGAAGCAGAAATGTTGTGACCGTCACTCTCCCTTCCAGATTTTGGCACTCTTCATCCTTTCAAACTCATCTATGCAAAGCATTTCAT